AGCAAAAATTACTTAGTATGTAAACTAACAACTTTACTGAATTAGAAAATTAAAAGGTATGCCAAAGGTTCGACAAAGCTACTTCAGTCATAGTGTGAGTGATGGCCTGTGGGTGATATGGATTATATTTCATTATTACCTGATACCTTATATAAATGTAATTTGGTATTTTTAACTGTTTTCTGAAATTCTAAAAACGTCAACGTTCGCGAACTGTTGACCGGTCAATAGTTTCGACTGTTTCCCTCGCGTGCTCTGACCTCATTGACGTCATAGTGGATTCCCTTTTGAAGCGCCAATCGATATTGATCATAAACCAGACGTGGCGTGACATAGTTAAAGTATAAAGTTAAATTATTAATATATGTGCAAAACTATTTTCTTGTTCTTTTTTTCTTCTGCAAGTACTGTTAAAACACTAATTGATCAGGTAATAAAACAGTTATTTGATATGTGATTTGGGAACAGTCAAACAGTTGTCCCTCGGTGTCGGGGATAGTGTTTTGAACTGTTGCCCTCGGCCTACGGCCTTGGGCAACAGTTCAAAACATTACCCCTCCACCTCGGGCCAATAGTTTGACTGTTCCCAAATTACATATGAAATAACTGTATACTAATATAACTCAGTTTTCACTAGTTCGCATTAAATAGATAGAGGATATTCAAGTTTTTCTATAAATACAGGATTTATTTTCATCGAGTGGTATGTAAATAAATATTTCATAAGTGGCGGTAGCCACGAGTGAAATATGAAAATTTTCATACCACAAGATGCAAATAAATCCTGTATTTAATTGAAAAAAACTTGAATTATCTGTTTATTAAATACATTTTTCTTTTTGATATTACAATTTGAAAGATTTACTGTTAAATTCTGTTTATTGGCTGAATTTAGAAAAAGTAGTCCGGCAATACACCAGTGAAAATACAGAAAATATGTTTCACTGTAGTGAAAAAATAAATTTTTTTACAGTGAAAATACGGAAATTGAAAATACGCAGTTTATTGCATCAATATTTCATTTCATTTATAAGAACATAATAAATACAGCATATTTGTTAATTTCGAGCGAATATGCTATATATATCCCAATAAAATTGCAATGTTTTTTCAGGTCCATATTCACGAAAAACTAACTATTCAGCCAATGACGCGCAGAAACAGACTCACGTTCAAAGAAAACGTCAGACGCTCACTTGCTGCGTGGACGCTCCGTAAAGAAACGTTATTTAAAATGTATAGTCACGATCGCGGCGTAATTTTTAACTTTTATTAAACAAAGAAATAATGACATTTGAATCGAGAAATGTGCCATTTAGAACACAACACTACAATCACTCATAAAATTAAATTGTTCGCCAAATCAAGTTCAGCAATCTCCTACGCAATGATCTCCCCTTATCAGTACAATCTAGTCCCAGTGTGAGCGATATACTGTGCATGATATGGATTTTATTTTACTGATAATATGAGGTTATTATACGTTGTGTTAAATACTGAATTCTAGCGCCTCGTCAAATATAAGTGCAATAAAACAAGAGTATTTTCAATGACATCTTCATTTCACACCATCAATGTTTTGACACAACTTTGTTTATTTGCGTACAATATGGATTTGATATGTATTGTTTGGACTTGCAAAATAAAAATGAGGCTATCTTGAGTTCATATGCATTTGATACAGACTCTTTGGACTGTAAAAACGAAAAGAGGCTTGATTGAGTACGATATGCATTTGATATGGATTTTCTTTTACTCTAAAAATGAAAATGAGGCTAAATTGACAAGATGGAATCCAATTATATTCGTTATCGTAGACTTACGACGCTGCTATGGGGTCAATTTTTTTACCGTAACTTTACGAGATGTTTAAGATACATCGTAAATTACAAACTCTCCGAGACAACCAGAAAAAATGCAACGATGACCTTACGTCAGTGTTACGAACGTCGTAAGGGATACGAGGCTTTTGAGACATCCACCCCAGGTCTGCTGCCATTTTTTTGGTAAGGTCTGTCGGGGAATTCTGTAGTCATAAGCGGTTCTTTTGTGTTTGCGTCGCGGTATGTTAGACGTATGCTACATTTGCTTACATATATTCTTTAATTTGCTTGGACATGCCTGGCCAGAATATTGAATCTTTAGCACGTTCAAGTGTTTTTGTAATTCCCATGTGACCTGTATGAACTTTCTGTACAAGTTCATTTCTCAAGATTTTCGGTATAACAATCGTATGACCTCGAAATATCAGGTCATTTTCTATGCTTATTTCTTAAGCATGCAATATTATTTAATAAAATTCATGATTTAAAATAAAAGAAGGGAGATGTTCTATATTGATATATATTGAAACAGACTTTAGTTACTGATAAGCTCCGCCTCCATAGCATGCTACATGTAACATCACTTGTGTATTAAATCTTGGAATATTAAGACGTACTCTTGTTGTCTCTTCTAGTTCAAATTATACAAAAGTATATTTTACTGGAAATCTCATTTGAGATATAATATTCTTGATAATATACTAAAACAAAACATACAACATACATGGAAGTCTGGTTATCTTGGAAAAGACATATATACTATTCTTGGCATGTGTATTCTTTAAAGACTTCTTCTCATTAAATATATTAAGCTTCACAGAAACGCAATTGACAGTGCTAAGATGTTGCTCAATTGTCTACCTATACATTAAGTAAAATTCAAATGAGCACAATAAGAAGAACATCTGAACATATTCACGGTGCCTTTACCACGTGACTTTTTATGGCTAGCATAATACAAATAACGAGCAACATTTTATTTCATTTTTGAATATTTCATTTTTTATAGAATTCAATGTAGAGCACTCTTATTCTTGTGATCAACACATTCATTGATTTTTTATTTAAAAAGTTATCATGGCAAAAAATTCTGGACCGTTTTCTGTATTGGTTTTTGCCTCTTGCAGATCACAAAACGTCACGTTGTACAGGCACCATGATATTGAAAACATCCTATCTATATACAATCTGCCTGTAACTATATCTTTCTAACCAATAATGCTTTATTAAATATATATTCAATATATATAACTGTAATATCCAATAATTATATTTCGCAAATTTTAAATAATACGAAGTTGAATTTTACTTAATTTAGCACAAACAAAAATAAACGCTTGAAACACCGGACTTAAACCGTTTCAAAAAAGATAGTTCTACTTTCACGTGGGAGTTATAAATGAATTTTTATAAATATCTGATAGATTTAGTCATTTTATATATGTTTAACTATATAACTTACGTGCAATTACTGAAATTGTCTTCATTTTGATAAATATAAGGGGGGTCAGTATACGTTTCCGTACATAATACTTATTTTAAATCCGTAAAACAAATAAAACAAATCATAAGCCCAATTATTCTCTATTAAAAATACTTTTTAACTCCCGCAAAAATCATCAAACTAAACACATTTAAAAAAAAATACAAAGCAATTATCTAAATGGTTAAAAATACAATTAAAGATAATAATTCAAAAAAAGTAACTAAAATTAACCCAACTGTATTTAAAGCACAAAAAAATAACCCTGTTACACAACTAACGGAGTGTGTCCTTTTATATAATCTTTATCTTGTAACACTATCTGAAGCACAATTATTTTAACATTCCTTCATCTTTGGAATACAAAAAGCCTCAATCAAATGTTTCATATATAATCTTTAAAAAGGCTTTCTACTGTGCTAGATTTTTCTGTCCTCATTATCAAATAAAAATTGTAAAATATGTTACTAAAAAACCTAACTATAAATAACTAATACATATAAATGAACAGAAAAATGTCACATTAATTTGAATCCAGCAATATTAACAGCAGATTGAGTAAATGATATATATTCAAGATCAAATAACAATGTAAATATTGGTCAAATATATATATCGTGTGTTAAATAAATTGTCTTAAATTCTGTTTTTAGCAACATGCAGGGGCTGAAGATATTACTAGATAAATATTTCAGATAAAGTAAGTTTGTTAAAATTGATATGTATTAAATAAATTGTCAAAAGTTATGTTTAAGTAACATATAGGGGTGGTCGCTATACGTTTCCGTACAAAAGATATGTGTATTTTTACATTGATACTAAGCTTAGATCACGAGCCTGTTGTCGGTGTAAGAATTTTAAAACTAGTGAATATAAAATATCGCAACTAACTAGAAGTTTTTAAACGGTTTTGTTTATTAGCAAGATCGAGTTTACTCGCAATTCAGGAAAGACAATTCTTGGTTTTCATTCGATATTTTTGGTTATTTATCTACGTTGTTCAGGATTACCCAGATTTTATGTTGCATATACATGAACTGAGTTTTCAACATTTACATTTGATTTTTTATTGGACATATTAAAATTTGAATATTTTTTTCTTATTATAATCAAAACTCTTTGTTTAGTTTTTAAGATAAACATTACGCAAAAGGTGTTATCGCATGAGTCAGCCACAAACAAGCGCATGTTTGAGGAGACAGTTATTTAATATTTCGTTACACATAAAATTAAACTGTATTGAGCCTTTGTACATCACAAAATTTTCGACAATTCAATATTTTGACTTATATTTCACATAAAGCGATATTGTAACACACGCACGCACGCACGAACACACAAAAATACATAACTACACATGCACAAAAAAGTGAACACGTTTTTACAGTATTAACACTTTCGCACATGTGATCACTTATGAAATATTTTCAATGTGCTCTTTATATTTATTATATATGAGCCGTGTCATGACAAAACCAACATAATGGGTTTGCGACCAGCATGGATCCAGACCAGCCTGCGCATCCGCGCAGTCTGATCAGGATCCATGCTGTTCGCTTACCAACCCTATTACAAGTAGAGAAACTGATAGCGACCAGCATTGATCCAGATCATCCTGCGCGGGCACGGATACGCAGGCTGATGTTGGTTTTGTCGTGACACGGCTCATATAAGTTATATTATGATTTTTTCAGGACAGTGTAAAGCGTGTTTAAATCTTCCAGAAATGCAACTGTGCCCTCTTTACAGCAATTATAGATGAAGCAAAGTATGGTAGCAAGTTATAAAGATGTAAGTTCACGTATATTCATTGTTGTACTTTGTAAATAAAATAAGACAATAACACGGAGGTACTGTCTGTAAAGAAGAGTTACACAGACTCATATATTCCCATCCGTACTGACAGCGTGTGTTTTATTTTTTCTCCAGGCAAAGGCAAAGTCAAATTTCCTTAATTACACGCATTTATTTTGACATGAATAAATGGGGTAAATTATAAATACATTGGTTCTCTTTTATATCTAATTAGAATCAATTCTCAGGTGGAATGATGCACACTTCATCAATGACGTCAATTAAGGCATTTAAGCATTTTGCTGCACATTTAAAAATGCTAAAACATCCATACTTTTAATATGCAAAAATCAAGTATATAAAATATAAGAAACAATTCCAACCCACACAATGGTTTAATATAGATGCACTGTGCATGCCATTTTATTATTTTGAATAAGTTTTCTTTTCTAAAACATATTACTGTATCAAAAAGATATGTATTTCTTTACAGTTTAATCACTTTTATAATTGAGCCGCGTCATGACAAAACCAAAATAATGGGTTTGCGACCAGCATGGATCCAGACCAGCCTGCGCATCCGCGCAGTCTGGTCAGGATCCATGCTGTTCGCTATCAGTTTCTCTACTTGTAATAGGGTTTGTAAGCGAACAGCATGGATCCTGATCATACAGCGCGGATGCGCAGGCTGGTCAAGATCCATGTTGGTCGCAAAGCCATTATGTTGGTTTTGTCTTGACGCGGCTCATATATGTTAATGATAGTACTTTTTTTATTAACTACGTGCGTAAGCGATAAATACGCCGCTTTGATAATGTGAGTGACGTTATATTTTCTTTTGTAGATGTACACTAAAGTTAACAACCTTTGTTCGAATATGTAAAACAGGGTTTTCAGAAGCGAATATAATGCAAGATTAGAAACAGAATTTAAAGACCCTTTCATTTAAGCGATAACAGTCAGGGAAGAGTTTCTTCCCTTACCGGATGTGACGTAAAAGGGGGACCGCATAGAATGTTAGCTTATTTGAAGTTAAATGCGTTAATACTGATCGTTCAACTATGAATATAACATGTAATAATTTACGCATGCATACATAAATTTAATATCAAGAAAATAGAAAAAATTAAAACAAATATTGAGATTAATTCTCGCTACGGTGTGAAACAGCGAAATTTCAAACTGTGTAGTATGAAGTAGTCATAGTACTTTTGCAGTGCAAGAATTTTTAGTGCAAACTTAAACTATAGTTGAAACAGTCTGTGCACAGTATCATGCATTCTGTATAAGTTTGCACCAAATTATTAAATAGGGCTAAATAAAGCTACATTTAAAACAAAATGAGAAGTTAATAGAAAATAGCACAGTATTTATAATCTTTACAATAAATAACACAAAATTTTCTTACTTGATTGATAATTTCAAAGCAATATTTTTGGGGAAAAAGGTGCAATCCGAATCTAGCTGTCTTGTATTGATAGTTACCACAACCTTACCTGCATTACGCCGAGAGTTGGTAAATTTGTTGATAATTTAATTAATATAGCTAGCCTGTTTGAATATAATAAACACAATATGATAGCTGTTTTACACCTGGATATGGACTTGACCACCTCGTCACTTAATTATTATACTAAACGCACAGTATTTGTGCGCACGTGAAACATATTGCGTTGAGACGTAAATGTTTCACGTGCGCACGTAATACTGTCGCATTCGCCTGTATTAATCAAAATATTTCCTATGTTATTTTATGCGAATGTCACATATGATACGTATATTTTATTATCTGAATTTGATTTCATACTATCAGATTAATGCTACAGGCAAGGGAGGATATTTTGATTATTTGTGAGAATAATCACTTTATTTTTAGTGATGGCACACTGTAATCTACACTATTGTATATTGAAGGTATTTATTCGTTGCTGTGAAATTGTGATGAGATAGTTTTTGAAACAATTGAAACTGAAACAAACAATAATCCAAATTTGTTAAGATTTACGTTTTTATATTAATGAAAGGTATAACTAGGTATTCCGCATTTTACTTAACTTGATATCATTGTGCAAACACGGATCTACATCTGAGTGAGTAGCAAATAAAGTTGTACGTTCGCATATCTGTACATTTTAAACCTTTTTTTCCAGAACGAATTGATTCCTCCTAACGATGCTAATATACATTATAAAACGATCAAAAAGATTATGTCAGCACTTTTCCCCAATACAATGTTATTTTGTACTAATATATTTTTAATCAATAAAATACTCTTTACATAGAACAAAGATACCATTATATTACATGTGTGAAATTTATATATTCGAAAAGGTTTTATAACAAAAAATATAAATTATCATCCGTCATAGATTAATCATTTTATTTAAATCCTGTGTGAATTTTTGCTTATAAATGACATCTTTATCCTATTCCTAATAATATAAAATAATTTGGAAATTTGCGTAAGAAAAAAAAATGTATATATGTATACGCTTAAATAAAATGCTTGTGTATAGTCTTTTTGAAAGTTGTTATAACTATTTCATGACACTGTTTAAAGAGGATTTTAAACTCTCTATTTTCAGATACACACATGCCGAAGAAGATTGTAATATCTGGAGAAAACATTTCCTTCGTCAAGAAATAGACACCGTTACACTGGTCTACGTAACATTCCTATTAAAGATGATTGATATATTTAAGTGCTTTTAAGAACAGTGTTTGAATGTCGAATTTCTGTGAATACGGATGTTTATGCCCCCACAATGTGGGAGCATATAGCGTTGCACTTGTCCGTCCGTCCGTCCGGCAGTCCGTCCGTCCGTTCTTCCCGAAATATTGTGAACGCAACTCCTCTTAAACCGGATGGCAGATTTTGCTTAAACTTACAGGGATGAACAACCTTAATGTGTAGATGGTAGTAAAGGAAGGAATTTTCGCTGCGACCAAATTTAACATAATTATGGCCCTTTGTTGATTTTTTCACTAGATACTATGTAGAAATTTTGTGAACGCAACTCCTCTTAAACCGGGTGGCAGATTTTGCTTTAACTTACAGGGATGAACAATCTTAATGTGTAGATGGTAGTAAAGGAAGGAATTTTTGCTGCGTTTAAATTTAACAGAATTATGGCCCTTTGTTGATTTTTTCACTATATACTATGTAGAAATTTTGTGAATGCAACTCCTCTAAAACCGGATGGCAGATTTTGCTTAAACTTCCAGGGATGAACAACCTTAATGTGTAGATGGCAGTAAAGAAAGGAATTTTTGCTGCAACCAAATTTTACAGAATTATGGCCCTTTGTTGATTTTTTCCATTATATACTATGTAGAAATTTTGTGAACGCAACTCCTCTTAAACCGGATGGCATATTTTGCTTAAACTTCCAGGGATGAACAATCTAAATGTGTAGATGGTAGTAAAGGAAGGAATATTTGCTGCGACCAAATTTAACAGAATGATAGCCCATTGTTGATTTTTAGTTTTCAACTTGTGGCACATGTAGTCCAAAAAATATTGACAGAACAGTGGCGTGTGGAGGCATCCGTGTCCTATGGACACATTTCTAGTTAGTTTTAATGGTTATTATTAAAACTTTCTGTTATAATAAATTTGTGCTATGGACTCATTTTCCTAAAATAATATGTGAATGTTAACACGAAAAAAATGATAATAATATCTTTAAAATGTTTTATGTGCGTAATAATAGTGGCTCATAAAAATCATTAAGATAAACAGAAAAGAACTTCAAGTTGGTATAGTTTGTTCTAGATTTAAACAACATGAAATCAGAGACATAGATAACAGAGATAGGCAACTTTCTAACCAGTTAAAATATCACGCGTTCCTGCTTAACTTAAAACTTGTAGCAAGTAAAACTTATTAACCAGATATCAAAATCAGGAAAATAATACATTTTCTGAAAGCTTATGCATTTTTCTATGGCTGCAGGTAAAAATATTTACAGATCCCATTTAAATAAGTGATACATCAATTATTAAAGGGCACTACCTATTAATTTTTGTTACAAAACTATTCATTTGACGAAAAAATGGCTCAGTGGGTATGTTCTGCTATGTTTTTCTAAGTGAAAGGCATGGAAAGTTACCAAATTTTAACATGCAGCAATAGATAAAAGATTTACCTTTCAAATGGTATATAATATTAAAGGATCAAATGTACATCCATTAAGTTTTATTTGCTACAAAATGTCTATTTTTTCACTTTTTGATAGGCATGAGTGATATTTCAATGGAGTATATAGGAGCTGCTTATCTCTGTTATCTATGTCTCTGATGAAATTCATAAAGGTTACGGCTTGAAAATATCGAAACATGTACATGTGAAATTCGATCTTTGAAGAAAATATCGCGGTGAGGATGTTCTGCACTGTGATACGTATTACATGACTCTGTATCGCAACATACCGGTATATCGCTATTCCGTTGCAACGCTACATTAATGTGTCCCTCTAGAATAAGGCTTACAACAATATATGACTGTTGAAGCAAAGACATGTTTATTTTGTTTAATATATGTATACATATTGAATATACATTGTATGTTTATGAAATAATAAATGTTTATGAGTGACTCGATTTGGTTTTTACTTTATTCTTTGAAATACTCCAATTGTGAAGATAAAGTTCTTAAGCATATAACTTTACAGTTCCCATTCACAATGTGTAATCATACATGTTCTATTGTACACGCCTGCATTTCGGTCATGTAAAGGTGTCACTTATATGTAAATGCATGCTTTTGATATTATCTGTACCTCTCGAAAATACAGTTCTGTATACCCTGTGTAAAACTAAAAAATGCAATTCCGTATATCCCAAGTATATATTGAAAATACAATTCCGTATATTCCCTCTATATGTATAAAATACGATTCCGTATATCTTCTGTATATGTAGAAAAAAAAACGATTCCGTATATTCCCTGTATATGTAGAGAATACGATTCCGTATATCTTCTGAATATGCAGAATGTACGATTCCGTATATCATCTGTATATGTGGAAAATACGATTCCGTATATCCTCTGTATATGTAGAATATACGGTTCCGTATATCCTCTGTATATGTAGAAAATACGAGTCCGTATATCTTCTGTATATGTAGAAAATACGGTCCCGTATATTCCTGGTATATTTATTGTATACTAGGGATAACAACCCCGATAAATTCCGCCTACGGGATTTTATTCTCCGTATACTTCAAAAGTACGAACAAATATAAGTACATGTATATGGGGCAAATACGGAATTCCGTATATGCCTGATGCATATACGGACTTCCCGTATACCCGATGTTCCCTATACAGACTCGTATACTTGGTCCGTATATTCGACAAATACATCCCGTACACGCCCGTATTTGCCAAAAATACGGGACCGTATATTCCCGTATATCAGTATATTTTTCGCAGTGTGAGTTGGCATATATGATATTAATAATAACTGATTATCAAACAAGCCATTTTGATTTTTGACCCAAATACCGCTCCATACACTTCAACATTAAAATGAGACATATTCACAAGTTTTTGGTTATACAACGGAGTTATCGATAGAAACCTTTGAATAGTTCCATAGCTATACACATGGTAACACATTTGGGTTTTTTACTACAACCCAATACAGTCCTTTAAAAAAAGAAGGCACATGCTTACTGTTCAGTCCTCTTGATTCGTGTTGCCAAAAGTGACTTCAATGTATCGCATTCTAGTAATGTTTGCTGAATGTAAAATACATGCTTTTGAATATTACCCTTTCAACGTTTGAAGGCACAAAATCCTGTCGATAAAAACAAATGTGGTTTGTGTCGTTTTATATGGGAAACATTCCCTTATGTTAATTCACCAACTTTAGTTTGCATATTATTATGCTCATTATCGGTATAAACGTTGTTACATTGTTACAATATATATTAACCAATTTTGCATTAATTTAATATCATGTGCTAGAATACGTTTTAACAAAATCAGAGGATATTCAAAGTCAACTGTAATGTAGTTGATGTATGTGTCATTTATAACTGTTTTATAAATAATTTGTAATATTTTTGTACCAGCAAGAGTTACCTCTCTTTATATTCTGCTTTCGTGTAAATTGGCTCAGCCTATTAATTTTCGTCTATTTCCGTGATAATTCCATTATGGCAAAATCGTTTACAAATGTTAATAGCGTTAGAATGCAAAAGGAAAGTGTGGTGTTGTCAACCTGAGAGTGTTAACTTGTGCAGTTACACTCTTGACACGTCATGATGCACAGCATTTAAACGTGTTGTTTATGTTCTATTGTTAACATTTCTACATGTCGCAAATTTGACGTTATACATTTCTAAATACAGTTTGCAATTTAGCTAAGTTGCATGTAAACAGCTTCCATTTTATCAAATAGAGATAATCAAAACGCTTTATACCAGTGCAGGATGTAACTCTCGGATCGATACTTAGATTTTAGAACCAAAGTATGCATTGTCAAGTTTCAAGGGCTGGATTTTTTTGTCAACGAATAGCCTCCATAAATGTTAAGAAGATTTGGGTAAAGTAGATAATTTTGGATAATATCCGTTCATATATAGAATCAAACGAAAACCATGTGTATTTGATATTCCTAACTTCACTTTTTTCATTTATGCTCATTAATAGCTATTTTCAACGTTACACCAATTCTGAATTAAAACTATTAAAAAATATCTTTGCAAACTTTAGTTTTTAAAGCAAAGTTTGCTCATTTTTAAGCATTTTTAAGGATTACATATAACTGTCTCTTGATGGACCGCTCACATACATTGAAATAACAAAAGTAAATGTTAATGTTGAAATAAATATTCAGTGTATCCTAGCATCTCAGTTAACCTCCATTGGGAGGTATTTTGAGGCATAGCTGTTATCTTCAGCGAACCCCCTTTAATGCATTTTACTTAATCAGTGACAGCTCTAAAATCTGTGTATACATGCTGTCAATAGCTGTTACTGAGACTTAATGACAAGAAATACTTAAAATAATATTTATCAAGTTTTGTAAGTGGTGGTTTTCTTAGAAATAAAATAAACAATGTATACGTAAATTGATAATCAACATACATACCCTTGGACTATCAGTATTGAAAAAAATGGTAAAAATGGGAAAATATTTATATACAGTGTTGTGAAAATAAAAAGCTATGTACGGAAAGGTACATACAACTTTGGTTTTAATTTTAATTTAAAGTTTAATTTTAAATTTTACTATTGCTAAAAGTTGTTCATTGTCAAAACATACGCTAGAATTCAGGTAACTAATGTTAAAGTAATTGTTACTACTAGGAAAGATAACAGCTGGAAATAGGTCGTATCAAAATCTCTAATATATGTTGACTTGAAATTTGAAAGTGGTAAAGCAGCTTCACTGTCAATTTTACTCATTCCTATGCAAACTGGAATCCCTTCTGTAACATTTATTTTTCTATAAAAAGAGCATGTCGAATATAGTCTTATCAATAATTTTTACTTCATTGTAAAATATTTAATATTTAATAACCTTAAACAACACCATTAAAAGTTAGATCGAGACAGTAAGTAACCTGGTGAGTTTTCTTTTGTTTTTTGTTTTTAGTTTCATTTTCTAGGAAATGTGGTATCTACGACGTTTCAAAACTTATAGGCCTATAATCATTTAAAGCCCGCTGATGTTGATTGAATAAAGGCATAGAATGGCAATCATGCAAGTGAATTATGTTT